TGGCCAGATGTAAGGGGTGATGCGATCGCAGAAATTATCTGATAGCTATGAATGTACTCTCCTTCTTGTGTTGCAGAGTTCTGTTTCCAGACATAGAGTCTTCCAGTAGCCACCCTCTTGAGCCAGAAAAGCACTACCTCCTCAACATACTTAATGTAGACCTCCATGTTGCTAGTCAGAGGTCATGTGGGAAGATGAATGCAGACAACGTCGTCATCACTAGTGATAACTCCAAACAGTTTCGTAATCGCAATTAGACTCATCCAACTCCTTCTGAATCCTCTGCACTGTCCTCAGATTGACACCCAAACACTCTGAAATGTTTGTTTTGGGAATGCCAAGCTGTACAGCTTGCCCTTTCCAAATTTTTGGCGAAGTGAATTGCGCTATGGTGCTCTTTTTTCTCACAGACGCTATCAAACTGACCCTTCTATACTATAGAGTCGACAGAATCAAAAACAAGCAAAGCGCATGCGCGAAATTAAAAATATAAAATGGCGACAATTTATCCATCGCACCCTGTCCATCTACCCACCGTATTTTCATTTGTTCCGGACTCTGCAAAAGATTTTAAATAACAAAAGATTTTACTCTATAGTCGAAAACTACCTCACAAACTTCATCCGAAGAAAAAAAAAGAAAAAGAATTTTCTACGAAAATTGCATCAACAAGCTTGTAGAACGATGGCGTGGGTGGGGCAGTTGCTACAAACAATAGATATTATGTACTTGAATAATACATGTTTTTGTGAATATGTAAAAATGTTTTAATTTTCCAATCTGTTACGAACTGTTGAAGTGAACTAATATATATATATATATATATATATATATATATATATATATATATATATATATATATATATATAGAGAGAGAGAGAGAGAGAGAGAGAGAAAATTAAATATTAAAAATGACATTTCTAAAATAAAATTATTAATAATGATCTTTACCTTTTTCCAGAACATGTTACTACGCGTGTTTTCGTTCTGCCTGATTCTTGAGGTTTTATCCGAAAATCAAGTAACTTATTTCGGCAAGCAAAGTTTTTATACCTTCAGATTACAATGACAAGGCTAACGTGTCGAGCGGATTTTAATTAGCGAAATTTATTGAGGTCAATAAAAAGCCATCAATCATATAATGAAAGGGATGGCAGTTTGAAGAGATAAAAGAATTAAGAAAACATATAAAAATGTAATTTTGTGTTGGAGAAAGCAAGGAAAAATAGGGACGAGAAAGCAAGAAAAACGAATGATTGAGAGCGAGATAGAGATAGAGAGAGAGAGAGATAGAGAGAGAGAGAGATAGAGATATATAGAGAGAGATAGAGAGATAGAGAGAGATTTGGTGTCGGTTGGATAAAAACAGATGAAAAAAAAAGAGAAAAGAAATGGTGGACGAGATTAAGTAGAATAGAAATGGAAAAAAAGAAGGCATTCGAATATGAGAAAACGAAGACGATGATCAAGAAAAAAAAGGGAGAGAAATGAAGAACTAGGAGAGGAGGGGGGTGAGGAAAATGTAGACAGAAATGAGAGAGAGATGACGAAGGAAGATAATAAAAACTTGGTATTGGGTAATGGTCTATCAATCTGTTTATTGCTCCTTTTGCGTGTTTAAATGAACGAATGTTAGGATTTTCTACTTTTGTAGGCTCAATCCCCAGACATTTTGGTTCACCAACAGAGGAAATTAACTAAAAAATTAGGATGAAAGGACTTGGGAAAAGGGAGAAAATGAGATAAAGAGGGTATGAAGAAATGCTAGGAAAACTAAAGAAACATAAAAAGAAAACCAGGTGAAAAAAAAAAACATGTAACAGAATTCATCAGTTTGTAGCTTCGTTATCTTTAAAACCATTTTGTATTTCCGGTCTGATGAGGCAGCTATTAAAAGCTTATTTGCCGAAATAAATTTATTATAGGATTTTTCCGAGACGTGTTAAGTGTTTTTTCCTTATTGCTCTGTATACAATAAATAGAGCTCTCTTCATGGATCTATCTTTTTTATATTTTAAATTAAAGAGGCTTATAGTAGAACAGATGAAGTCCGACAATTATTTTAATACATTTGTTGTTCATTCATAAGAAATTGGTTGTTTAGAAACAGTAATTTGGACGTAGCAAACCAGACGTTTCTGTGTAGGATGCAGGTTCGATTCCTGCCGAAGGCACATATTTTCTATGAAATTTCTCGGACATTCGGGTCGGAAAATGTAGTTAATACTGTTTATTATAAACAGAGCATATATATTTATTCGTACTTATTATAAACAGAGCATATATATATATAAAAGTTATGAAGAACTTACACTACTCATCAATTTTCGTTTCATTTTTGGAAGTGCTATCTGATGATCCGGCGTCCCTTAAAAGGACTCTGGTGAAATAAATTATTATAATGGTACCTTAAAGTGGTCTGTTATATATATATATATATATATATATATATATATATATATATATATATATATATATATATATATATATATATATATATATATATATATATATATATATATATATATATATATATATATATATATTCTATTTATAATAAACAGTATTTACTACATATATGCATGCTTTGGCAACCTAGTTGCCGAAGCACATTGAATCTAACGATTTCTGCAAAGGCAAACGCAAGTTCGAATCCTATCGGAGGGTGCATTTTGCTTTAATAAGATCTCCTGAATATTCAGCCCGGTAGACGAAATAAAAATAAACAGGAAGTCTACCCACATATTAAAAAGTGACAAAAATACGTTAGATTAAGAAATAAAATATATCACAAATTTCTTTGTTTACGTTTCGGATATAAAGCAGAATAGATATGAACTTTCAACAACCTAGAACTAGAAAGATATGCGTAAAAACAGTTTAAAACCTTTCTTCGTCACCATGATCTCCCTCGGCTTGTTGGTTAAGGCACATCGGTCCTAACATTTTATTCCTGCAAAATGGGACGCAGGTTCGAATCCAGCCAGCGGGCGCATTTTCTTTAATGATATTCAGGCTGTTAGTCGAAGTAAAACACTGTTTAAAATAATCGGAACTTCAGCTTAAATATGGCTACCCACTGAAAATAAGGTTTAAGAGCTATATATATATATATATATATATATATGTATGTGTGTCTGTGTGTGTGTGTGATAAAAATATAGTTTATGGTAAAGAGAGAGAGATGTTTTGTGCCATTTCAATTTAGCCTGTGTTATACAACGCCACCTGTTGAGTTTTAGGAGAATATCCCTAGCAGGAAAGGTGGAAGTAATTAAACAATATACTTATAAAAAGGAAGAGGAGATGGAGACAAAAGAAAGCATCTGACAGATTTTCTGACGATGTGGCAATGAGCGAAAGCCATGCAGAGATAGAAATGCAAATAAACTACGCTACATTATATATATATATATATATATATATATATATATATATATATATATATATATATATAGAGAGAGAGAGAGAGAAGAAAGGGGAGAGAGAGCAAAAGAATGATAAAAGACAGAATGCAATAAAAAATATTGGCGTATCCGTTATTTCTTTTTCGCGTCTGAAATTATTTGTATATTATTAAGATAAATCATAAACAGGCAACAACAATTTTAAGGGTTAAGAATGAGAAGATACAGGCAAAGGATGAAAGAAGAATAGAGGCACGAGATAAGGAATAATCTTAATTGTATTGGAAAGGATAAGGAAAAAGTGAGAAGATACAGGCAAAGGATGAAAGAAGAATAGAGGCACGAGATAAGGAATAATCTTAATTGTATTGGAAAGGATAAGGAAAAAGTGAGAAGATACAGGCAAAGGATGAAAGAAGAATAGAGGCACGAGATAAGGAATAATCTTAATTGTATTGGAAAGGATAAGGAAAAAGTGAAAGATACAGGCAAAGGATGAAAGAAGAATAGAGGCACGAGATAAGGAATAATCTTAATTGTATTGGAAAGGATAAGGAAAAGTGAGAAGATACAGGCAAAGGATGAAAGAAGAATAGAGGCACGAGATAAGGAATAATCTTAATTGTATTGGAAAGGATAAGGAAAAAGTGACAAGATACAGGCAAAGGATGAAAGAAGAATAGAGGCACGAGATAAGGAATAATCTTAATTGTATTGGAAAGGATAAGGAAAAAGTGAGAAGATACAGGCAAAGGATGAAAGAAGAATAGAGGCACGAGATAAGGAATAATCTTAATTGTATTGGAAAGGATAAGGAAAAAAGTGACAAGATACAGGCAAAGGATGAAAAAAGAGTAGAGGCACGAGATAAGGAATAATCTTAATTGTATTGGAAAGGATGAAAGATACAGGCAATGAAAGAAGAATAGAGGCTTAAGGAATAATCTGTTGTATTGGAAAGGATAAGAAAAAGTGAAAGATACAAAAGGATGAAAGAAGAATAGAGGCACAATTGTATTGGAAAGGATAAGGAAAAGTGACAAGATACAGAAAGGATGAAAGAAGAGTAGAGGCACGAGATAAGGAATAATCTTAATTGTATTGGAAAGGATAAGGAAAAAGTGAGAAGATACAGGCAAAGGATGAAAAGAAGAATAGAGGCACGAGATAAGGGAATAATCTTAATTGTATTGGAAAGGATAAGGAAAAGTGAGAAGATACAGGCAAAGGATGAAAGAAGAATAGAGGCACGAGATAAGGAATAATCTTAATTGTATTGGAAAGGATAAGGAAAAAGTGAGAAGATACAGGCAAAGGATGAAAGAAGAATAGAGGCACGAGATAAGGAATAATCTTAATTGTATTGGAAAGGATAAGGAAAAAAAGTGAGAAGATACAGGCAAAAAGATGAAAGAAGAATAGAGGCACGAGATAAGGAATAATCTTAATTGTATTGGAAAGGATAAGAAAAAAGAGAAGATACAGGCAAAGGATGAAAGAAGAATAGAGGCACGAGATAAGGAATAATCTTAATTGTATTGGAAAGGATAAGGAAAAAGTGACAAGATACAGGCAAAGGATGAAAGAAGTGTAGAGGCACGAGATAAGGAATAATCTTAATTGTATTGGAAAGGATAAGGAAAAAGTGAGAAGATACAGACAAAGAATGAGATAAGAGCAGAGGTATTATAAAGTGGATAATCTTAATTGTATTGGAAAGGATAAGAGAGAGAATAACAAGATACGGGCAAAAGATGAAAGAAGAGTAGAAGCCTGAGATAATGAATAGTATAAGTTGTCAGCACCCATACAATTTCAACAGGTCCTGCTAATTAACATTGTTATTAATCATTTTATTTTTATCGTTTGTTACGTCTCAGAGATGCAATGGTAACAACAGTGGTGAGCTTGACCGTTTCCATGCAGGAAACATTCGACATTCATTGACAGAACAGTTAGAGTTACTGCCGGCTGATTTTTTTAAAATAGTTTTTCAGCAAATTACTCTTCTCGAGTTCATTAACTGTTATCGTTCTTTTTAGTTTTGAGACTCAGTTCTAATTGGACAATCAGGGAAAACTTTAGTTTGGAAATAACAGTTTTTTTTTTCTATCGCACTTCTTGCTTGCGGAACTCTTAACTGGATTCTTGTTTCCCAGTCAACTTTGATCTTGAACAATTTAAATGAAGGTCAATCTTTATCTTCATTCGTCTTAATTTTTATTCATGTATTGTCCTTTCTCTTTAATACTAGTTGTTCTCATATTTTCTAACCATCAGTAACCCTTTGCATCCTAGTGGCTTTATTGCATATTGATCTTCAAATATTTAAATCCAGTGTCAATCGTTATCTTCTTAATTCTTATACTTTTATTGTCCTATCTCTTTAATAGTAGTTAAAAGCTTTCAATTATTAAAATAAAATAAAAATACCCATTTTCAGATTTATTGACAAAAAAAGTTTCATTAAAATCCGACAATTATTTGATTTTTACGAGAATTTCCAAATTAATGTGTCTGACACCGAAAAAAAGTGGGTGATATAATTTTTATGTTTTCCATTGTAAAACAGTCGTAACGTTTGTTTAACCGCTAACTCAAATCAAAACAAAATTTTCAGACAAAATTTTAAAAATGTTCGAAGGGATTAAAAATTTTTAAAAAGTAGTAGTCATATTCTCTAACATTCAGTAACCACTTGCGTCCTAGTGGCTTTATTGCCTTGCTTGGGGTGAAATGATTTCCCATTCTAGTTGCTTATGCTACACATTTTTAGTGTTGTTGCTGTTGTAAATGTTAAGTTATATATATATTTTAGATAAAGCTATTTGGGAGTATGGAGCGCCAAAGTATATGCTCTGATGAAGGGTTGTTTTCCTTAAGACCTGATTGGGATTAATTTCGTTTATTTCTTCGAAATACTCCTTGGATTGATGTTTCTTGCCTTCATGTTTAAAATTGTGCCACTGAGGTTTCTTCTTGAGTTTAAGCCGGCATTGATCATTTGTATTTTCTCCGAAAGATCAGGTGAAGCCAAAATTTTCTTGGTTCACACTGGCCTGTTCAGACGCTACAGTCCACATGAATCACTTTTTCCGGCTATACCGTCGTAACAGTTCTGATCACAACAGACGCCTCTCTGTGTCTACTCGTAATAATTGTAACCTGTCCTCAAAGAGGCTAAGTCTTTGCTAACGGAATGAGGCACCGTATAGCGTCTCAACAAGTTCGGTTCACGTGACTACTAGGGCTCCATAATAGTGCATTAAATAAGTGTAAGTCTTGTATCCCTACTCTCTTCACTGAATTTGAAGTGTTAATATCTGCTGATAAAGCAGAATGCTTTGCTCGTAAATTTTCTTCTAATTCTACTCTTGAATCATCTGGAGTATCTTTCCTTGATTGTCCATTTAAAATTGATTCTTTAGTGCGTGATATACATATAATTCTATGTTTCTGCTATCATCTCTAAACGGGATCACCGCCAAGCATGTGGACTTGATGCTATCCCTTCCATTTGCTCCTGAAATGGTTCCTGTTCTCTCTAAACTCTACAACAAATACCTCGTTGCTTTCCTGCTTGTTTGAAACTCATCTTCTGTAGCTCCCGTCCTTAAGAACTCGGGCGAACCGTCTGATCTTTCTGATTATCATTCTGTTGTGACCAAGTAAATGGTTAAAGAAATAACAAAACAAGTGTTACAGATATATCACATATTAAACAGTAAGTACAACAGAAGAGTATTACACGACTAGTGAGTGTGTGTCGGTTGACCAGCGTTCAATCTATTCGACTGTTGATATTTACCAGCCTCCCCACGAGGTAGGATGTGGCACAAGGCCGAGTTTAATGTGGGGCAATCCGTGCCCGTAGGCTCGGCCAAAAATTCCCCGTAGACTACGTATAAAACGGAGTCGGGTAGCTATTTCCCGAGACGAGACTCTGCCCTTCGATATAGCCTCGTCTGGGGATCCTTTCTGTCCGGAGGCAGAGAGTTTGACCAGCACAGCCGAAGAAATTTGTTCCTTTGTTCCCCCAAAGCCTTCTCTCCTACTAATCTTATAGTATGCGGAAGAGTCCAACACAGACACTTTAGAGAGAGGACACCACAACGCATTCTACCTCTTCTTGATAAAGTACTACAGGCATTAAACAATTCTGATTTGGCTAAGCATCTCAGCTTGCAGAGTTGTCTTTCGGGTGAATAATATGGCTTTCGCTTCTCTAATTCAACTCTTCTATATTAACGGTTATTGCTGAAACAAGCTTTACATAAGAATGATGAATCTCGGACTGTTGCTTTGGATATCTTGAAGGCATTTGACAGAGTTTGGCATGCTAGTCTTCTTCACAATTAGAAAAGTTATGGTATTTTTGGATGAAATTTTTCATCGGATTCTATCTTTATTATTAAATCGCGAAATGAAAGTTATCTTGAATGGCCAATCTTCTACATCTTTTTGTACTAATGCAGTTGTCATCCAGCTCTCTATCCTTAGACCTATGTTGTTCCTAATTTTGATCAACGCCCTTCCTGGTGTCATTCAGTTCTCAACGCTGTAACTATGCTGATGACTCAACGATTTACTCTTGTCTTAATTGTAAGTCTGATCGGTTCAAATTGACAGATGATCTAAAAAATTACCTGACGTCCTTTATTAACTGAGGCAAGAAATGGCATGTTAATTTTAACGTCTCCAAAAAAAAACTCCTCTCTTTTAATCGTTTGAGAGAACCATTTTTCTTACATCACCATGGCTGATGCTAACCTCCTAGAGCAGTGGTTTTCAACCAGGGTTCCGCGGAACCCTAGCGTTCCGCGGAACCCTAGCGTTCTGCAAGAAGTTACGCAAGAAGTTACGCAAGCACTATGATTGACAGTAATTTTTAATTCTCCTGTGCAGATATGTGTGTTTAGGTACCTTCTCTAAATCAATAACAAAACAGCATAGTATGAATAAAAAAAAAAGTTCCCAAACTTAATAAAACAAACTTTTTCCATCAAAATGTTTATATCAAATGATATAGGAAAGATCAAAGTAATTTTTAAACATTTTTTAAAATTTTTTAATCCCTTCGAACTTTTTAAAATTTTGTCAGAAAATTTTGTTTTGATTTGAGTTAGCGGTTAAACAAACGTTACGACTGTTTTACAATGGAAACGTAAAAATTATATCACCCACCTTTTTTCGGTGACAGACACATTAATTTGGAAATTCTCGCAAAAATCAAATAATTGTCGGATTTTAATGAAACTTTTTTGTAAATAAATCTGAAGATGAGTATTTTTATTCTATTTTAATAACTGAAAGCTTTTTTCTTTTCTTTTTTTTTTTTTTGCATAAGACAATTACTTTATTACAGGGGTTCCTCGAGACACTGGAATGTTTCCTTGTGGTTCCGCTCCAGTAAAACTGTTGAAAACCAATGTCTTAGAGAGTGACAGATTATACCTTCGATACTATACGTTTTCTGATGTCATGGATTGAAAGATTATATTGAATCAGTTGCTAGGTCCGCTGCAAGGAAAGGCAGTTCACTGTAGCGTGCTTGACAATTTTTCTCGAATCTATCTTATCGTTCATGTTTTGAATATTGCTGCCTCATGTGGTTTCGTTCTTCCTGCTATATATTTAGAGACCCTTGATAAAAATCCAAAGAAGAGTCTGCAATGTCATTAGATCTAGGCTTCAGTTACTTTCCCACTGACGTAATATAGCTTCCCTGTCAGTCAGTCATGTGCCATACGTGATACACGCTTAGGCGATCATGTATCTTTCGATACATGACTGACGAGGCATATTTTTCCCGCAGTAGGTTGCTATTTCTTTCTGCGGTAGACCAGTTACTATCCAATGCTATAGAACCCGGTCTGTCTTGCTATTTACCCATAGCTGGGTGGAGAAGAAGAGGATGCCTACCTTTCCCAAGGGCACATAAGTGAATATAATGGATCCGACTGGAATTCGAACTCGGTTCTCCGATTCCTCAATCCGAGCCGCTATCCTCTTTTCTATAAATACTTTCATGGTAATTGTTCTGATGAGCTTTCCGCTTTGGTACCTAAACTTTATGAATTTAAGCGCAGTACTAGATTGGCGGCAAGGTCTCATCAGTTTACAGCTGAAATGGCTAGATGGAACCGTAAGTTCTATGCTAACAGTTTCTTCTTTCGCACTCCTCGCTAGTGGAACTTTCTTCTAGCTTCTTGCTTTCCAGTCAAGTTTGATTTTTAAAAATTTAAATGAAATGTCAATCGTTATCTTCTGTATACTTAGTTCCTTTTTTTTTTTTTCGCTCCTTAATAATGTTTTCTTTTTCTTCTATTCTTTCACACTCCCCTACGTCTTAGTGGCTTTATTACCTTGCTTGAACTGAAAGTATTAAAAATCTCATGATGTCTGAATTTCTTAAATGAAGCATTGTCATTATTATTATTATTATTATTATTATTATTATTATTATTCACTCTTTCTTTCATCTCCTATTCTGAGCAATAATAGGCAAACTAGTCCACTTGGTGTTTTTTTAACTGGAAGATTTGCCAATCCTTACTAATTTTTGACTAGTCTTTCCTTCGCCATATTACTGTTGTCTTTACTAATTAGTTGGAAGGAGAAGATGGAAGAGCAGACAACATCATACCAAAAATAGAAAAATAGTGACAGATGTTGGAAGAAAAAAAACGGACAGGAAAATCAAAAAAAGAAAATTACAAACAAATGTCTTTTGCGTGATAGTGTGACAGTTACCGAAAGCACCTTATTATGTAACAGAAATAGAAGAGTAATTTAAAAACCACAAAACCTAAGGTAGTTATCAATATCTAACAATAAATGTGACAGAATTAACTCATACCTGTATTTTCCCAGTTTCAAATTCGTGATATTTACATAAGCATCATCTTAAATTTATTTATTGCTTCCATAAAATTGATTAACTTTAGGATTTTAGTGCAGCTATGTTTTATGTCTACATAAGAAAATCATGTTTAACTCGCACACTACCTGTCAAAAATGATGTGAGTTTTACATGTGGAACGACATTTCTGCCTATGATCAGAGTATCAGCAAAATGGCGACATGAAACCGTCAGATGTTTTTAGTATCAATGTGTTTTTAGTATCAATGTGTCGCTTCCCAATATTTCTCTCTTGAACTATAATGGCTTCACATTTCGTTTTAGGGTCATTTTTTGTAAGGTATCACAAAGGGAATCTATAGATATAGACCATAAAACAAACAAAAACCAGTTGGAGAATGGAATTCGCGTTGTCAACTCAAACGGTGTGTGTGTGTGTGTGTGTGTGTGTGTGTGTGTGTGTGTGTGTGTGTGTGTGTGTTCGTTTATATATTGGATCGGATTTCCTACACTTTTCAACCGATTTCAACAAAACTACGTAAAATTACCTTGCGGTGGTTCTGACAGCGCCAAAAATTGGAAAACACAATTGTTTTTGCATGAAATCAATTTGAAAACACGATTAAGGCATCGCTTTCGCGGAATGAAAGGGGGACAACTCATATCGAGTTATATTTATTATAAAACACAGGTTGTGTGTGTGTGTGTTCGTTTATATATGAGATCGGATTTTCTACATTTTTCAACCGATTTCAATAAAACTTCATTTTTTTTTGGCAGGTAGTGTTTCTTATTGTCTTGCACACTTTTTTCTTTATTTTTACATTCACAAGGCTTTAAAAATTCCATTTACAAAACAATTGTTTATAATAAAATTCTATTCAATCGGTAGACTCATAACGATTGAAAACAATGTTTTTGTTTGAGTTTGGGTTTGACCAATTCGTAAAAAACCAAAAAAACAAAACAAAACACCCCCCACCCCCCAAAAAAACTAATTAAGACATGCGTGTTCGTCAACCTTAAACAATAATCATTGTCAATTTTATTTTTCAGTCTTCATGATGGTCGATACTTGATCTATCTCTTACTGTTACATCCCCGGGCAACGCCGGGCTCTACTGCTAGTCGCTAATGAATAATAAAGGATAGCGATCAGGGGCCGTAACACATGCAATACACACAAACCGACTCGCTTATTTCTATATTTACCTTTGTGTTTTATATATATATATATATATATATATATATATATAATTTTTGTATTTCTTTTTTATTATATAATTTTTTATAGTAGATACGAGAAATCACTGCGCTATCTACTACATTAGTTCAGAATAAATGAAATCAAGGACACATGGCACAGAGGAAAAAGGCGTTGGTTAGATCCAGTGACAGGACCCAAAGAGTGTGAGTTCCAGGGACAGGACCCAAGTGGAGAACTTGGAGAGGGGAATTAACAGGAGATAACTGATAACTGACCTCCATTAGACATGGCACGTGGAACAAGAACAGTCTACCTCAGTGAGCAAAATAAAATGTTCAGTTTGACATTCCAACCACCTGAAGATGGCCGGAACGTTCAACGGCCGGGGCGTACAACGGCCGAAACGTTGAAATAAATATGGCGACAAAGATGAAGACAATAGTCCGAATAATGTAAATAGTGTACATAATACCTCATCTCAGAAATATAGACAGATACAAAAGAAATCAATTATTTAAATAATCTACTCTTAGGTCATGTTTTGAAATTGTGTTACCTTCATCATCTTCATTTGAAAAATAAGTTATTTTATAATTATTATTAGCAAAATATAAGATTTGTTCCTTAAACGTCATATTTCAATTACCTAAATTCCATGTATGACATATGTTTCTACGTACAATATTAGCTTGTGAATTATTGGTTAATTCTTCTATAATTTCTGTACTACAATCAGTGGCGTAGCTATAGTAAACATCACCCGGGGCGGTCCACTCAAATGTCACCCCAATGACCCCGATTCACTCTATGCTGAATGGTTAGCTGTAGCTAAATTTTCATACATGCTCTACCTCTACTTTACTCTACTGACCGGTACGTTACTGTTTACGTGTATGATCCAAGACAAAATCCAATACCACAAAATAATCAGTTCAAATCAAAAGATTTTTAAAATGCAACTGTTCACTTTCAGAACAACTAAATACAAAACACAGCAATACACAAAAGAATGACATTCGATACTATGGTCTTAGAATTAATGTTTTCTTGTTTTCATTGTGGTAAACTGGTCAATGACATCGTTAAAATCTGTTTGTCTTGTAAGTTCGTTTTCAACGGAGAGCACAGCCAGATCCGACAGTCTCGACTAGGTCATGGTTGACGTAATTTTCTGTTGCTAATTTTCCGGTGTCCGATTTTCCGTTGCATCATTTTCTGGGTACCATTTAATTATCAATGATGTTTGAAAATATTTTTCTTGACAAAAATGTTCTATTTAATTTTTAAGCATTTTTCGAAATATTGTAAATCAACTGCATTCTTTTAGGTTACCTAGGGAATTTATGCAAAGTTTATTTTTTTGATTTTCTTTATACAAGTAAAATAAATTTACATCGTATTTTGATGTTATTATGATTTTAGTTTTAGTGATAATTCAAAAAAACAAAAATATTTATCATTAGTACCAATAATGGAAAATTAAGTTAAAATTTAAAAGAATCGTTTTTGGAATCGGAAAATAGGCACAAATTTTTCCGATTCTGATACCATTCCGATACCCCAAAAAGTTCCGATTTTCCGATTCCGATTAATCGTCCCAACACTAGTAGATATATTCAAAAAGTATATCGCGCTCACTCAATGGAAAATTGTATCTCAGCGAATTGATACACAGGCAGGACTGAAATTGTTGCACTTTTGGCTTCGTATTTCGCTTTGTTGTTATTAATGATGCAGAGTTAAAATACCATATCATCCGATAAAATGTTACAACAATGTCTCGTGTTAGTAACTAAGATTGTAGCAACTGAAACACATGAAAGCTGAAAACATTGCTATTTTTCCTACTCACAAATTTCCCGACAATTTATTAGAAAATTTCTGACCGGGGGGGGGTCAAAATTAGGGGGTCATAAATTATTTCTGGGGGGTCATAAGCCCGCCTGCGAAACCCTGTTTTCAGACTATTTTTGGCACCTTAGCCTGGTTGAAAAATTTTGTTGGGGGTGACATTGTGTCACCCCTCCTGTGCTGGCACCCGGGCGGTCCGCCCCACTCTCCCCCCGTTAGCTACGCCACTGACTACAATGTATATATTTTTGGTTCTATAAATCAGTACGTTTTAGCTACGAGGAAGGTCGTGTAAAGCCTGCGCACTCGTAGTTCCAATTGACAGCCGTATCATTTTTTTTAGTAATTTAAATTAAGAATAGTTGAAGAAAACATTTTCTCAAACACTTTGAATATTTATTTAAAAGAACATCAAGTATTTAAAAACAAAGTCCTATAGTGATACACCTTTTAAGATAAATAAAGTTTTTTTTATTAAAAAGTTTGTAAAATATCTAATTCGATATTATAGAAATTACAAAAATTCTCTAAAAAATATCAAATAATGTTTTTGATTTTTTATGCAGGTAAATTTGAAAAATAATTAATAAAAAAATATCCAGAAATGATTATATATATATTTTTTTTTTATTTCAGGCTAAAGCGTCTATAGACTTTTCCTTTCGATTCCGAATGTTCATTTTTTTTCTGTATTTATTTTTCATAGCTTTTTCCTTTTTTTACTCAGGTGTATAATTTTCACAGTTATTAAAATTAAAGAATCTTATTGTTTAATTGAGATTTTAATGCTTACAAAAAGAAAAACATTTTTGTCTCATCTTTGAAGAGATTCTTGAAGATATGTTCACGCTCACTCCAAATGCACCGAAATAGTTAGAAATTTAACGAGAATAATCATCAATGTTACACCGGACAACGGGAAGTATTTTCGTAGGAGAATGATAACATTGTACACCGACAGACCACATGTGTTCGATGGCGCATCTTTTTTTGTCAAGTAAGAAATTTTAGTGAGTAAAATTAATATATATATATATTTTTTTATCATTGCTACTGTTGTTTTTTAAAATTAATTTAATTTTTTTCAGCTGCTTTTTAAAAATAATTATTTGTCGTTTTTAATTATGTAGTTCTCCTTGATTTGACTTTCAAACAAAAAAAAATCATTTAGTTGTTTCTGTCTTCCTCGTTATTTGTAAGTTGAAATTGCATCTTATCAGTTCTTCACTTTTTTTTTTGTGGCAGTTTGATTTTTGTACTGCAAAATTTGTTGCAATTTTTTTTTCATGCAAGTTTTGAAGGAAAACTAATTTTTCTATTTACGAGCTGAAAATATAAATTACATAAACAAATGTTGAAATTCAGGGGAGGCAACTCAGTCTTTCACGAACCTTTTTTAAAAATTCCTACAGCGTTGAAATTCAAACAAAAAAATTACATAAGCATAAATGCACAATTTACTCGATTTATAATTTGTTTCCTTTAATCAACTAATAAAGCTTACGTATAGTGGTCTAAATTTGTTTAACTTAGATACGTGCCGAAAGTGAGGATTCTTAATTTCATAAAGAGAAAATGATAGAGTTACCTAAGCTTACATAAGATTTATGCAATAAATTCTGAATGATTTAGAATTAAGTACCATCAAAGAAAAACGATAACTAAAGTTTAAATGACTTTTTAAAAATGAAACATATATTTCAACTTTCATACTCAAACATCAAACATTCTTAAACTACCAACATACTTAAACAAAAGACATTATTACAACATACATTATTTGTTCTTCACACAATACAAGGAAAACCACTTCGTGTGACTTAATCTTTATTGTTATTAACAGAATTATATGTATATGCTTGTTTTAATACATGTTTACTTGTTGATTTTCATTAATCTCTCGTCATTCATTTTTTGTGTTTTCTTTACAAATTTAATGTGGAATGTTAATGTAAAAACGCAACCTTGACCAAAAACCCTTCTGATTCTTTTCTAACCAATACCATTAACAACCCCACACTGTCACATGTTTTCCACTAATGAATCAACTAAAAATATGTAGAATAAATTTTGCTAATGGATATTACTTTGTCTTTTATTTTATTTGGTTGAGCTATGCCAACCATCACTGTCCTGCATCAAGTTCATTAGGGTGGAATCCTTTATCATTACATAGTTGCTGGCTGGCCAACCATTTTTTGATGAGTTTATTACTGGGTGTTATGTGATGTCTTTGCGACTGGATGTTATGTGAAGTCATCAGTAATTTAATTTTCTTTTATTTTATTTTCTGCTTATTTATTTATCTCTTTTTTTTCTTTTGTTTATATGCAGGCTTCGGTGAATATCTGCGGATGGTACAGATATCTATGTGGAAATATCTGCTTCTGTTATGAAAAAAGAAATGGCCTCACAAAAGCAAAGGGTCCTCTTCTTGTTTCGTAAAATATTACGCTTGGGCAGAACCTGGGAAGCCATGTCAGGCAAGAGAGAGGACACCCTCACCGAAAGGGCTTACATTGCAAGTGAAGCAAGCAAACTCTTCCGACAGAACAAAAATGTAAATTTATTTCCCTTTGTTCTTATAATCTGTTTAATTGTTCTTTTGCATTGTTTTTATTTATACATGGTGAGATTGAACATAAATTGTACTTATAGGCTTTAATCCTCCAAATACACCCAATACTATATTTCCCATCTTTATTTGGAGGGAATTGCCCTAGTTTTTTTTTTCGTTTATAACATTGATTGAGTTTTTTGAAAAACAATTTAACCTCTGATAGTAGATAAATAAAATGACGCAGTACTGATATCTCTTGATTGGTAGAAGCATCAGAATATTTTTTTTTTTTTTTTGATTAATAAATTTTCAGTAATGACAATGAAAAGTAAAAATCACTGAAATATTTTAATATTGTCTAAAGGGAGAACATTTGGCATGTAAATTTTCATTAAAGGGAAATAATTCGTATACATACATTCATGGTCTTTTTTCTTACTGATTTTACTCGTCTCAGCTTATCTCAATTACTGCTCAAGAGAACTATATTGCATGTGCAATAATCAAGACAAGTGAATATTCCACTCATAGCTATTGTTCATGATGTAAATGAAATAAAAATAAATATTGTTCATGTTTAATGATCAACCTTAGATAATTTATTTATTTAAGAATATAATTTTTTTTATCTAGGTTACTCCAAAGATTTGTTAAAAAGGAGCAGACATAATGATAAAGTGCCCAAATAAAAACAATTTAAGTATTTTGAGTTGAAAAATGGTTACTTTTTTTGGACGGCATATAAGACACATTTTCTTCCTCAACCAAAAATGGTTTTAAAAAATATCACCCTGCTTCATATATATGAAGTTGGCAAATTTTATCTGCAACACTCACTACTCTAGATGTAATTTTAAATACGCCTCAACACACTCAAATTATCATCCACTTGGAAACTGCAAAGAAAGTGGCATAACTGAAAATAAAGACTAGTTAACGCCCCAGACTATAGAAAATGCCTCGAAAAACGCATTTTAAATAATTTAAATATCTTCTTTGAAATTAAATTTTGGTTTTTATTTGAAAGACGCATTAAAAGAAAAATGAATTTCCATGTGTAAAATTTTTAGGCATTTTTAAAACCTCGTCACATTCTCTCATCTCTGATCAACTCCTGGAACTGCCATTATAGATGAAAAATATAAACAGCAAATTTAAAATCTTTTAAAATAAAATTCCAATTTTTGTCTTAGTGATGTGTTTTCAAGCTATTTATATAAGGATTAACTAACTGCATTTTATAAAAGTAATGCTTAATTTTTGCTTAAAATATAATGAAAATAACATTTACACAAAGAAGCCTGCAACCCGTATCATAGGACAACTGTAGTTTTGTGAAGTAATCCTTGATTAAAAAGTGTGCAAAAAATTAAAAGAAATTAAAGAAATATGGAACTCCAGCAGTGCAGTAATCAAGAAATTGATATTGTTTATGATTAATGATTAACCTTAGATAATTTATTTAAGAATATATTTTTTTTTATATAGGTTCCTCCAAAGATATGTTAAAAATGAGCAGACATAATGAAAAAGTGCCCAAAACTTAAAGCAATTTATGTTATTACTAAGAGGAAAGATTAAAGAATTTTTTGATGAAAAATGTTTTTTAAATTTTTTTTTTTTTTTTTTTATTAGAACCTAAATTTTGGTTAAAAATTTTGTTTTCCTTGTGTCCATATGGGACCATGAATTTATGTGGAAAATTTGAGTGTCTTTTTGTGGTGCAAAACACGTTGATTTGTAAATTCTTTCAAGAATTGGATAATTGTCAGATTTTACTGAAACTTTCAGGGCTTATTCACTAATGAATTAAATATATTTTTAAAGGTTTCTTTTTAGAACATCTTGATAAAAATATATATTTTTTTTTTTTTTTGCATTTGTTACCCGCCCCCAACTCATTTAATTTCATGTAATTTCAAGAAATTCTTTTTGTAAGGCTTAATGTATTACTTATAAAGACAAGTCCTAGAAGAATTTAAATCATCAAATTCTTTTGGTTAAACAGGACCCCTGCTTTTGTTATAGAAAATCTCAGAATTGTAAAATGCAATAAAACTAAGACATTATTTAATTAGAAAAGCTTTTAATTGCTTTTGAAAAAAATTATTTTTGGTTGAATAATGAATTTTTATAAACATTGTTTTCATTTTTAATTTTAATTAGAATAATTTGTAAACTTTTAAATCTTCAAATTTTTTATTAATTTTGTAGCGATCAAGTGATATTGATATTAAATAAGGATACATGACATATTGAAAAAGTGCCCAGGGGGTGGGGATTTGGCGGAAAACTGACCCACCACCCCAATATTTCCACAAAGTTTTCTAATGAAATAACCTTTTCAATATACAATATCTTCATTAATGAATAAGTACTGAAAATTTTGTTTGAATCATAATTCCTTGTTTTGAAAAAAAAACAAACTCTTAAAACTGGGGGTTGGGTAGTAATATTTTATTTATTTATTTTTTTCATTTCAGGGGTAAAAAAAAACATTTTTGTGGTACCTGGGGAAATACCATTAACAACAAAATGCTAACTTAGGATGTACTGATAAATAAACTAAAATCTTTTTTCCCTCCAAATATGCCCTGGTGTGCCACTAATACATCCATGTATCTTTAATGCTGTCAAATATAGTACTTATTAGTGAAGAAGAAAATGGTTAAACAATTATTCCATAAAAAAACTTTATACAAAATAAAGGTACATTATTGTATCATAATGAAGTCTTTTTCTGTAGTCATATAGTTGATACAGTTAATACCGTATATAGTTTAGCTGGCTGGCCATTTTAATACTATTGTGTTAATATTATTATAATATACAATATTTCAGTTTTGCCAACTATGGCATAGAGGCTGCAGTTGATTTTTATATTTTAAAGCAGAATGTTTTACTCAAAAATTCTCCTCAAATTCTACTTTTGACTCATGTGGAGTATCTTTGATTTTCCCCTTAAAACTGAGGCTCTATTGAGTGATATGCATATAACTCTGTCCATAGTCTGTTATCATCTCTAAACTAGATCCTCTCAAAGTATGTGAACTTGATGGTATCCCTGTAATAGTCCCAAACTGGTTCCTGTTCTCCCTAAACTGTACAATAAGTGCTTTGCTGCTTCTTGTTTTTGTCCTTGTTGAAAATCCTATTCTGTTGTTCCCGTTTTTAAGAACTCTGCCAAAACGTCTGATTCTTTTAACTATCAGCCTATTAGCCTTCTGCCTCTTTTTAGCAAAATACTTGAGAATCTAATCAACTCTGAATTGTTTAAGCATCTCACCTTGCAGGATTTTCTTTCCAATAAGCAATATGGCTTTTGCTAGGTCAACTGCTGATGTGTTAACACTTATTGCTGAAAAAGCTTATCAAGCTTTAGGTAAGAATGATGAAACTCTTACTGTTACTTTGGATATCTCAAAGGCATTTGACAGGGTTTGGCATACTGGTCTTCATAAGTTGAAAGGTTATGGTATTTCTGGACAAATTTTTGAACTGTTTCAGACTTTCATATCAAATCATGAAAAGAAAATGGTCCTGAATGGCCACTCTCCTAGATCTTTCTGCATTAATGCTGTCATTCCCCAGGGCTCTATCCTTGAACACACGTTGTTCCTAATTTTCATCATCGACCTTTCTGATGGCATCAGTTTTCCAATTGGTATCTATGCTGATTGCACAATGATTTATTCCTGTCTCAATAATAAGCCTGAGCAGTTCGATAACCTCAAATTTGCAGCTGATCTAAAAAAAAAAAAAATGATCTACTTTCTATTGTTAGCTGGAGCAAGGAATAGCTTGTTAATTTTAATGCCTCTAAAATGAAACTACTCACTTTTAATTTTCTGAGAGAACCTTTTTACTGTCCATCAGCATGGCTATGCTAAACTCCAGGATAATGATTCATTACACCTTCCCAGATTCATGTTCTCCACTGACATGAAGTGGAAAGATTATATTGTATTAATTGCTAGGTCTGCTGCTAGGAAAGTAGCAAGTCTGCCATTCTAGATAATCTTTCTTGCCAGAATATATCTTACAAATTTATAAGTCTTGAGTCATTGAGTATCTGTAGGTCCACTGTATGTCTGGTTGATCCATCCTTTGGTACAACCACCATTTTTGAGCACCAAATTGTAGGGATACCAACCAGTACTGGTTTGATGAGGCCCAGTGAGACATCCTGGTCATCGTCCTTCTTGACCCTCTTTTTCCAATGATGAGGAACTGCAATTTGCATGTGGACTGCTGTTGGTGTTGTTCCTGGAATGAGGGTGATGTTTAGAGACATTTCCTTTCATTGTCTATAGTGCACTTGTTGAACGTGCTGGACCCCAAATACTCCAGTATCCATTGCTCTGGTTGGTGCCTATTGTCGTCCATTGGTGGGGAAAATGGGATAGCAGCTGGCTTTGGTGGGTCAGCCATTCTTTGAGGGCATTAATACTGGGCCTTTCTATTGGCACTTGTCACATTTTGCTGTGATGTGGTTGGAATCTGTAATTAAAGCATCTTAATTAGGCCACCAGATATTTCTTTCTATCCATTGACCCATTGGGATGTGAGGTCCTTCCACATATCCTGCACAACTTGGCATAATATGTGGTCTTGATTCTCCGGAATCACTGCTCCATGTTTGACCTTTGCATATTAAATGATGTGATAGGGGATATATCATTATGGAAGTGAGAGATCAACCTGTCTGGTTTCCAGGCTGACCAACCTTTTGAACTTCTGCTCCAGAATGGTGAGGGTAGAGCCTCACCCAATGTTCAATATTAACGAGACCTGCTACCATTTGCACAGCAACCATGTCCCTGGAGTAGTTTACTTGCTGGCCACAACCACTTCCATTTGAGCAGGTAACCACAAATTCATAAAATCTTGCTCAGTTGGGCTAAGAAATGTGTAATTGACTCACCCTCTTTTTGTCTCATAGTTTGGAAGTTCTGTCTGTGCACCTCTTTGTGTAGACCCCTAACTGCAATGAGCCATATTTGACATAGAAGTTATTCTGCAGTGGTAGAATTGAGTATTTCAGCCCTCACAAGGTCAAATAGCAACCTGTTCACCTTGGATGAACACATTGTCTTTAGCTCATTGTGAATCTCTGCTTTGTTGATCACTCTGCACATTTCCTTGTACTGGGTCCACGAGTCCATAAACAATGCCCAGTCACTGTCTGTTGTGTCCGGATCAATTGTGGGTTGTTCTGGTTTCCTTACTTTGGACATGCCTGACCTGTCGTGAAGCCCTTCCTTTGAAAGTGCTATATTCTCTCTTTACAACTCGGCTATATGTTGCATAAGTTACATATATTGTTGATCCATAATTGGTAGGGTTGTCATGTTACCTCATATGGCTACATCAATGCTGTGTTTTGTTAATAATCTTTGCAAGGTTTTGCTTTGCAAATATGTACTGTTGGTATTTCTCAAAGTTAAAATTTTGTTCAATATCCTGTCAGCGACGCCATGTATAATGTCTGAAGTGAGGACAGACTACTCACCTGGCTCCGTTGCCAGTGTTCCTCCTGTCCTATTCCACAGACAGTAACTCTTTTGACATGTTGACAGCCTGATGACAGGTCTGATGTTGTTCTATGGAGACTTTTATCTGTAAAACATAGTTGAAGAAAATGATGTGAGCGCCTTTTTTACATAATTTTTTAGTACTTGATAATCTTAAAAATTTAGAAAAATATTCTTTGTCACCTAATGTTTTATTGAATTTTGGAAATTAATTTAATTTTTATTAATAATGATTTTTATTTAATACTTATTTATTTATTAATTTATATTTAGTACTTATTATTTTTTGTTTTATAATTGATTTAATATTTTATTTATTTTTCTTTTATATTTTCAATAATTTTATTTAGTAATGATTATATTTAATAATTATTTTATTTATTATATTGTATGTATGTATGTATTATTATTATTATTTATATTCTATATATCATTTTATTTTTGGATGTTACCTTTTTACTTAACAATTTTAAAAAAAATAATTCTTCTCCAATTTTTAAAAAAATAATTCTTCTCCAATTTTTAAATATCTTTAAGTAATTTCCCTTATATAAACTACCTATTGATAATTTTTTTACTAGCATAAATTTTTATTTTTTTATTTTTATTTTTTTTCTTCTTTAATTTTGTGACTCTGTTTTAAAATTGAGTGGTTAATATTTTAAAATATAGGTCAAGGTTATTTTAACTGTTTAATTGAACTGGACACTCCCACTTCTACCCACTTTTAAATCTGCAATTTCCTCCTTATTTTCCTTCCTCTCTGGCTTTTTTCTTTTCTTATATTTTTCTCTCTTTCTCTTGCTTTATTCCTTTAATGTCTTTCTCTTCCTTTAATGTCTATATTCTCACTATAATATTGGAAATCTATGTAAACTTATGTCTAAACATTTATTCTCTCTTTCTCTTTCTTTCTCCTTATCTATCGTCCTCATCTTCTTCTTTTACTCTTTAAATGTTTAAATTTAAACTTTTATCTCATTTCCTAAGGTCTCTGAATTTATAAGGTCCACAAGAAAATCTGTGGATCGAAATAGCTGTTTCCTGAATGATTTTCTAAAAACAATTTTCAAAAATAATTTCATTCATTTGTGAATAAGTTCTGAAAATTTCATTAAAATCCGACAATTATTTGATTTTTGCAAGAATTTCAAATTATTGTGTTTTTAACGCCAAAAAGAGATGCTAAAAATCCCCTATATAATCTTTGGTCCACCTGCTGACAAAAGAAAAACACGATTTTTAACCAAAATGTCAAACATGCTAGAGAGGATCAAACAATAATAATAAAAAAATACTTTGGTCTTTCCTCTTAATAACAAATATTTTGACGATAAAACTTTAACATAAATACTTTGAACATAACATACATATTTTGACGATAAGAAAGGCACAAAATTGATAAAAAAATTTTTATTAAGTTTTGTGCTTTTCTTCTACAATTTTAAGAGTATCCAAATTAACAACCAAGGGAGGCAACTATTGATAAGAAATGTAAGAGTAAATTCTCTTGGAATTTACAGTTTTTTTTTTCTTTTTGAAATGCAAATCTAGCAATAGAGCTTCACCTGAATTTTTGCGATGAAGAATTATCAATATTAAACACTGATTTGTTTGGATTAGTGTTTTTATCCTGGTTGATATTGTCACAACTTTTTTGCCGTCCTAAATTCAAGCCTTCTTCAGGTGTCTGTCAGTAATTTTGACCCAGACTACTTATTCACTTCACAAACATTAAAGAACTCAAAGTTTTTAATTCCTAAATATGTAATAGTGTTAAGCTATATACGACAATTCCATTTGAAGGGGCAATAGGTTTTCTGTTAGTTTCTATCAAAAAGTGGTTGTGAGTTCAGTTCTTGGTTTGGGTAGTGCAAAAAATGTCATCTACACTGGTTCAGTAGAGGCAGCTAAGTTGATAGAATTAACTAGTAAGTGATCTCTTCTTGCATAGACGGGAGAATGCAAATAATCTACTGCTGTGCATTAAATGTGAAGATCTGTCTGAAATTGTTTTTTGTAGCATTTATGACAGACCCCAGAGAAAGGCCGAAATATTTTAACAACAATAACAACCAAGAAAGAGAACAGAGGTTAAAATAAATCTGCGTATAATAACGGTGAATAATAATAATAATAATAATAATAATAATAATAGCAATGGTGAATAACAATAAAAATAGTACTGAATAATGACAATAACAGTGAATTGTGGAGTGAAGAGGGAAATAAACACCAAGACAGTCAAACACTAAATGACAAAAAAATGGTTTCTGAGTTAGAGGATTCAACCGGTTAATAAATGAATATTTTGAAAATAAACATTTAATATTTTTCAACCAATGGGTTATGTTCCCATCAACAATTAAAAAAAAAAAAAACATGCTTTGTGATCCCTTCAAAGGTTATTTAAGCAAAGTTTCTAGATGAACAAAACCAATAAGGAGAGATAGATGGCAACAGTCTGCAACAGTTTACAATGCTCGCTCAGCTTAAAAGATATTGCCTTACTCATTGTGCTGTTGTCCTCACCAAGCTACGTGACACTTACACTTACTTCTTCACTTTTTTCCCCTTGCTTCTTCTTTCTCACACATACACACAAAGAAATCCTATTTCTTTTTATCTTAACAAGTGATTAGAAATAAGAACTGTAAGAACTTTAACATACATGCTAAGAAAAAGTTAGTTGCAAAAAAAAATATAAAAATATCTTATGTTCTTATATCCAAACACGTTTTTTGCCTTTTTCGTTGTTGTGGGTTGAATCCATTCTACTACAGAATAACAGCACCAATAACAATGAATAACAACCACAGAGAATAATCACAATAGTGAATAGTGTCTTGGAGTTCAGTGTTCCTGGTCACAGAGAGGTTAAGCTAGACCTAGGAAGACGTGGAAGAACAGCATTGTTGTGGGGTATGTGGGAGTGTGGTCTTACCTACATTAGTTCATGTGAGAGCTAGCCAACTGCTGCTTACCTTAGTCACTGGTAAACCTTTAGTAGTATAATCAAAGCTCCAGATCTTGAATTGTCTTGAATAACAACAATAATAACTGAATAATAACAAGTAATAATAACAACAGTTATATATCAATTATTAATGTTTCAACTTTTATTTCTTTCTGGTTAATCTCGCTCACTTTTTATCATTATTTGCACACAGATTCAACAATCTTGCTACATTGATCAGAAATAAAGAATAAAACTCTGAACAGAGATGGATTCCTTATACAAAAAACAGATTTTAACTTGAGCCTTGTTAGTGGCTTTTTTTTTTTTTTTTCAAATTTCTGATCGGTCTGGTTTACTGACCGTCATATTTTAGTAGTCTGGGAATTACAGTTAAAGATAAAGAAAAGAATGAAGAAAATAAATAAAAATTAATTATTCTAATTTCTTTTATCAATAACATTTTTATGTACTTAGCAAAGATCTGATAAAATAACAGATGATTTTAAAAATTTCTTGATCTCTCGAGTCACTTGCACTTTTTTCTTTTCTTTTTGTTAAGATTAAAAATGCGTCTGAAATCGAGGAACACATCAAAGAGGGTGAAGTTCGACTAGAACTAGGTAAGTCTGCAGGACATTTAAATATTCTGGCTTTGATTACAATTGTCAACCAGAGATATTCTTTTTTGACAGCAAACACTTTTCTATTTAGAATTTACTTGATTGCATTATAAATTATTTTTTTATCAACTTTATTCCTCAAAAAATGATGCACAATTACATTTTATTCAATTATTTTATTACTCACCATTTATTTGTAATGACTTTTTGCCACTTGACAGGCAGGTCTTCACTGAGTAAAATTCTGCAGGTTTTGATGTGAAAATGTTTTCCTCAAACTCTTGAATCTTGTTTCTTCAAGGCTAGGTCCCCACATATCCTGCTTACTATTATGCTGATGCAGCAACCTCCTTCCGTACCCCTCTATCTTAAGTGCCTCTTTGGCCTTGTATATGGTGAACATTAGTAAAAAAACCAAAAGTAAACATAGGATTGGTTTGCATGAGAGTCAAAAAAGCTTGACATAGGTATAGTATGCACATGTTCCCTTTTTGCTTTTCTGGAGGGTTTACATGCTATTAACATATTCTTGACCCTAACCAACAGAGCAGGATATGCTTCAATGCTACAGTCAACATTATCGGCACATTATGTATTAATGTAAATAATAATAGTTTAAGATTATAATATTTGAAAATATTTTTTCCCAAGATCTATGGCTTTTGTGATACTACGTATAATAAGATGAACCAGTCTATAATATTTAGTTGATTGATTTTTTTTTTTTTTTTTTTTACTGCTTATCGACCCTTTGCAGGTTATTTAAAGCCAGAAAATATCTTTGGATTGTAAGAATTTTATAGAGATAATAATGATTTACTGATACAAGTCTCACTAATTAACCCATAGCTGAGTGGAAGAGTTAATTTCATAAAGATATTTGTACATAAGTGAATATCACAAACCCAACTGGAATTGGAACTCGGCTCTCTGATTTTCAATTCCGTGCTGTTATCCGTTACACCATGTGTATGTCCACTCTTGCAATACCTGGTATTCCCAAACAGCCACCTGTCTAGGTACTAACCAAGCTCAATGCTGGTTAAGTTCTTCTGGAGGCACTCTACAGCTTTTCTTTATTAAGTTAAGTTATTAGCTCGTAGTTTACTGATTATTCTTCCTCTATTTGCCATGTCCCTTAAGGATGTAGGTGATCATGACTCTCCACAATTACCTGTCCTTTGTAACTCTTAATAAATTTTGTCTTTTTGTTTTCCCTCCTAAACCTTGTTCTGACATCCAAGCTTGCTACATAGACTATTTTCATCTGTCTCTCTTGCCTTCACTTGGTCCTGTGAGTGTCCTATTTTCCATGGCCTCTTTCCTTATGTGCACTAGAAATTTTAACTATCTCTTCCTGACATTATGTATAAATGTCCTTTTTGTTTCCATTTTCTTTAAAACTTTGTCGTTGCTCTCGTGTTCATTCCAAGGTATTCACAGCATCCTCCTGTAGAACCACATTTCTGTTGCTGCTTCATCTTTGAGGAGATTGTCCAGCGTTCACTGTCATATAGGAAGACTGATATTACATAACAGTTCAGTAGTCTTTTCTTTGTTTCTAACAAGATATTTTCTAGTTTCTTAATACTTTGCTTGGCTCTTGGAAGACGTCTTTCATTATCCCAAATCAGCAGGACCAGTTTACTGATAGTTTTAAACATAAAAAGTTTAATTTACTATCTCCTGACTTTGTTTGCTGAGGAGTGAAGGTAATTAAAATAAGAATGGTGACAACGTCAAAACTATCCTTTTGACAGACCCTTTTTTTTTTTTTTTTGTTTTTTGTTTTCTGAGCATGAAGGTCCAAGTTTGCCAAAAACTTAAGATGAAGTTCATTCCCAATATGCAAGATGTCTGTAAAGTTAAGTGTTAGGAGGAGGATTATTATTTCATTTTTTTCCTACAGCCAGAATTTGTCATGTTAGGGCATATACATTATGTCAGATTTTATTAGTCAATGTTTTCCCAATAAAATTGGTATTATTAACCAAGCAATACTGGCAAAACATTTATGTTTGGTTGGTTTAGTTTGTTTTACAGCATATCAACTTCAATGGGTTATTTAATGCTGACAAAATTTTTATTGCTGGTAATGTTTTTCTTCAAAAATCTATTTCTGGGAATATTTTTCCTTGAAGCAATCTTGAGCTGGTCATATTTTTTCCAAAGAATGAATAGCTGTTTGTATTGCTGGTATTTTTTTTTTTTTTTTTTTTTTTTTTTTAAAGTATTGCTGGTAATAATTTTTCCTTCAAAAATTATTGCTGGTAATAATTTTTTTTATTCCAAAGTATTTCTGGTATTAAAACCTATTTTTATACAAGTTTGGGTGTTAACTATTTGTCCATAGCTGGGACCCTAACAGGTGTTACCACCCTGGGTCAGGGTGGACCTGGGAACACCAGCAATTAAGAGGTGGTTCCATGACCTCAAAACCTCCTGATCAGAGGCCTTGCTGTTGGACGTAGTTTATTGTCTTACACAGGATGCGGATGTATTTTATCATCATCCCCAGGATGGCAAAACATTTAGGATTTACTTATATGATAAATATACCATATAAATGTCAACTTGTAATATCTATTTTTATTTGAATTATTATCACTTATTTAGTGGTCTGAGACTTATGATGCAACTTGAGGCTTGTTCATCATCTATATAATAAATGTGAATGTCAGTGTGTCACTGTTACCCTTTTTCAACTTAAAGGGACAAAACTCTTTAACTTTCAATAGCTCATTTCAAATGAAAAAAAGTTACTGTTCTCAAATTACAGTGTTTCAAAATAAAATTGTCCAAGAGCCCGTAACCCAACATATACCATTTTAAAATCAGGCCAATTCCATGAGCAAATTTAAAACATCCTGGGCCAGCTCTGAACCCACAATCTTGATATTTTGGATCTCCAAGTTTTCATTACTGCAATTGTTTTCGGTGGTTATTTTTTATTTAATTTTTTTATTTGGATTGAGAAGGCTGGGCTGGTCTGTAAAATGTGTCAGGTTAAACATCTGGAACATGCAGTCCCTTTAAGTCTAATGGGTGGTGCGTTTGCTGTCTACCAGCAGCTGAAAGAGGAAGAAAAAGAGGATTTCAGCTGGATAAAATCTGCACTGTACACAGCTTTTGCTACGGATGGTTTACTGGCTTATGAGCAATTTGCTGAGTGATGGCTCTGTCCTGGAGAATCTCTGGATGTATATCTGGTGGAGTTACGAAAGCTTTCCATCCTGTTTGGAGGAATGAGCAACCATGGCCTGGCATGTGCATTCGTGTGAGGATTACTAAACCGAGTTAAACATCTCTTTCATGTTTCAACCTTGAAGGATGAATTGTCTGTCAACCAACTATTGACTTGAGTGTGAGCAATTATGAATGATGAAGTACTGGAAGAGGGACTGGCAGTTGAGGTAGTGCAAACCACACAGGATGAGGTGAGGAAACTTCCTATTGAGGGTCCATGTGGCTCCATAACACACTATTGTTGCAACAGTACCAATCATTTTGCAAAGGACTGCAAAGAAGCACATACCAAAAGGTGGACGCCCCGGATGCGATGTTACAAGTACAACATGGTAAGGCACGTAGTCTGCAATTACTCAGGAAACAATCCAGGGGAATAGGCCTCAACACCAGTCTACTCCCTGAGCACCATATGAAGGAGGTGCTACCCGCAATTGTCGTATGCATCAATCGAATAAGGAGTTTAGTCTTGCTAGACACAGGCTGTTCTTGGTCACTCGTAAGCAGATTGCCTTGTTGATCTTGGAAGAGGAAAGAAGTGGATGTGCACACTGTTGGTGAAAGGACCCTCAAGTGCTCTGGGGTAGAACTTATTCAATTTGACATGAGCAACAGGCCCCTTATCGATGTTGAGGATCTGGTTGTGGATAAAAAATTGTTTGGTTTCGACCTGCTGCTCAGATTTGACATCATCAAGAAGTTCGGGAGTACAAGTGTGTCCAGTGATGGGACTGTGAGCTTTCTTCAACTTGACTGACCTTTGTGGATAACCATCACCATCAACAAACCTAACTTCCATGTGGAGTATGACCAGAACAAGAATACCTGGGTTGGGTCTTGGAAGTGGTCTGGTGACCAGACACCACTCACGTTGAAGAACCAGGCAGCCAAATATCCAGTACCAAAGCCGCTCGGGAAGGAGTATACTCATGAGCTACGAACCTGGATGGATAACAGCTGGCTACTTCTGTAATCTGAGGAAGAACTTGTTCCCTCCCCCTCCACCCAAAGGGCCTGATCTCTCTAATGGCTGTGCTGCAGGAAAACAAACAGAATGTCTGCCTGGTCATGGATTATTGGGAGCTCAGTCAGTATCTGGACTCTCACACCACTGATGCAGATGTTTGTGTGCAAAAATTGAGAGAGTGACCTCCCACCGCTACCTAACGTGCTCACTCATCAGAGCATCTTCTCCCTGTGTCGGAAATTGACTGGACATTTGCCAGAATGTGGCTGGCTCTGCATCACAACTGCATTTATAAAAGTGCGTGTGAACTCTGTGATGACTGGCTGGGATGATGAGGTGTGGTATCCACCCCTGACTGTGTTGATGGATGTGAAGTTACTGTTTGGGTTGATACAAGCTCCTTGGCCACTGGTGTTGTTGTGGAAAGGAGTGAATCCCTGGTTGAAGATGCCTGACAAAGCTCAACGTGATCTTGAGAGGCATCAGCATGGCACTGCAATGGAGAGTGACTATGGTTCACCTGAAGACTGATTCAACATGTGTGCGTTGATGGGTTTCTGATATACTGTCTGAAAAGTCTCAAGTGCACATGAATGCAGCAACAGAAATGTTGATAAGACGTCGACTCAGCAGAATCAAGAAACTGGTGGAGGAATAGTAATTGACTGTTGACATAGAGCTTGTCAGATCCCATGCAAACTGAACCAATCAGCTTACCAGAATGCCTCAATGTTGGCTGGGTGCAGTTTGGAAAGAAACAGAACCAGAAGTGCAGGAATCAACCCAC